AATAGCGTTGGTAACACTCGAGTAACACATAAAGAACGGAATAGGTGAGTTTTATGGCTGTTTGAGTAATACGATTTCAATTTTTGAAACTAGTCCGACCGACCCACTTCGCGATTCTGGCAAAGAGCGCGAGCTGGAATTTCATATGTAATACGATAAAACGCGTTCGATTGCTGCTCCCATGTTTCGGTTATCAAATTTATGAAAAGGGGTTATGACTCGAGCGAGTGCTTCCTAGACAAATTCAAATTGTACGTCTAACTGAGTATTCAGAATATTTTAATACAATATTTATTTTATGTGTTTGTGGAAAATTGGGAGTTGCCAAAAATCTACACGTAATACATGTAATATGCAAGAATATTTACATAAAATATAAGTGGAGTATATTATGATGGAGAGATTATAATAGTTGTGCTGGTGAAAGAATATCGAACATTTAAACTGACATAACTTTGTAAAAAATAGGTCACTTGGTTTTATTTCAAAGCCTGAAGCTTCTACTTTTACAATTATTTTTCACAGAAATGATTTATTATCATGTAGCATTATGAACGTAAGCATACTATTTTTTCCCTTTAAACTGTCATAAGTTCAGACGTCTTTTAAAACATTAAGAAATTTTCCTCGTAGCTGAATTTACCATGATCTTCATAATTGAAATTCCCTCTTTAAAATACGATTTTTCTTTCACCATTTCATCGAACTTGGAACATCAGGATTAAATGTTTGATTCGACGTTCAATAAAATACTGAAAAAAAAATCCTACAGTAAGTTGTCACGAAGGGGGGATTTTAGTCTTTAAAATAATCATAGATCCAGTCACGAAAAAGATTTTTTAGACGTTTTCTACGCACTTTTGATTTTTTAATATTCTGAAGAAAGAAAAAAACAAAAGAAAAGAAAACGAGATAAAACGAATCGTTATAGGATTTCCTTTTTAAAAAGTTTTAAAAAGGGTTTCCTTTTTAAAAACGTCAGTTTAAATCATCAATTTTTCATCGTCATTGCTCTTCACTGTACATACACAGTACGTGAAGCAAATTCTTTTAAAATTCTATTCCCTCAGGAGGCGACGCCTCTAAAGACTTTGAAACGCTTGGAAATGCACGTTATTATTAAATCCGGAAATCCGTAGTTATTACACAAATAAAGGCATATCAAAAGTTCTACCCTACCGTAGTTTTCTTAAGCATTTGCAATTTTGAGAGGTACTAAATGAAATTAAACGTCGGCTTGGCATCGACGGCTCGTATTCTCAAGAGTTCAAATCTCGTCGTGGCGTCGTAGGAGGATCTAGTAAATCGCCGGCACATGGGAAATCTTGGAAATCATTGATTCTCAGAGGCTTCGGTGTTCCGTCGATGCGCATCCCCGGTTTCTCTATCAACGAACCGGAAGTAACAGACATTCGGACGCCCGGAGCGTGCAAATGCACAAGTAATTCTCATCCTCTTGTCCTGGGACGTCTTTAAACCGATCATTTCGCAAATCAACGAGAAAGAAAGAGAGAGAGAGAGAGAGAGA